GCAGTATAGTGTAGGGCCACAAGTTGTAAAATACATATTTATTAATACTAATAATATGTTGGTATTATATAATGCCTGAAGCTTCTATGCACCTTACATTATTACTCCAGTTATTGGATCGAACACATAAGAAACACATTCTAAGCACTTTGGGTTAAATTCCATAATGTTGCAGCTATGTTGTACTTATGCATTGTGGTGTTTGTTGTGTTGGTTGTCATATGCAGTGTTAAGTTAGAAGATAAGAACTTACTCGTTGTAATCAATGCCGATGATGGTGTGTGTTCGATCTGCTACTCTTTGTTCGGGTTCGGATAGGATCTGTTGCAAGTAAATGATTTCCAAGTAGTGAAATTATATGTATGTAATGAAAACATACAGCATAAAATTACAAATTAGTTGCATGTGTAAATTTATTTTAAATAGGTTTATACTATATTTGAAATTATATTAGGGTAACTGGCATTAGCTTTACCCAATGTTATGTCATAGCTGCTGGTAGTTGCTAAAAAGTTAATAATACTGATGTATTTTCTTCTGCCTACAAACTGTTAATTTTGCTACTCCATTTTGAATTTGCCAGAATAATAATATAACAAATTAGCTAAATACGTCAAGAACCCAAACCCAACTGCTGTTTAAGATGGGAAACTTGTTGTTAGATACAAATGAAGGTACTGTATTAATATAAATAAGAAATTGTACCTCTATGTGTGTCATGTCAATAAACTTCAATTGGGCTTTCTGGTTCCATACGTCAATTTCGACGTTGGTAAGTAGCGCTAGCGAACCCTCATTTTGTTCGGTTAGTTCTTCAGCCTTATCATTCCACAATTTTAGCTGTATGCTTGTGTTTCTATCTTTTAATGTTACATCTCGGCGCTGCCAAGTGGAACCTCTTTTTATAGTCTTGACCTGCAATAAGTATTATAGGTTTAGCATTTATGAATGCTAGGAAAGTAATGTAGTACTATTATAAGAACTGAATTTTGTATATCATTCCTTATGGAAGTAGTTGCACCATGTCAATGTCAATGTTGTGGATGGATATGAACAGTTGCACCGTGTCAATGTTATGGATGGATATGAACAGTTACGTTGAATGTGATTAGTAGACCCTTTATAAGTGTGTTGGAATAATTGAAATTTGGTGTTGTTGCATTAGGATGAAATGAAATGAAATAATGAATAATGAAGTAATGGTCTTACCACTGTAATTTGGCCCTCTATGGTTATTTTCATTTTTTGGGGCTCGCTAGAGCCTCGGCCACAGGTACTTATTCTGGAGAATTGAATTGTTGTATTCTTGCCTCTGGAACATTGAAGGCTTCTCCAGTCCAGAAGACCTATTGAAATGTTATACAAAGTTAGCTGTCAAAGGCAACAAACATTTCATGTGACAATACTATAATATTTTAAAAATTGTTTTTTTTTTATGCAATGGAAATGATGACACTAGAATAATAAAGCGTGGGTTAGCTTACCTGGCATGTTTGTGTCTCAATATGCAAGTAACGGGTGTTTTCCCTATTAGTCACAGATGCATTCTTAAGCAGAAGGTACAGGTTTTTAAAAATTTTCTCTTCAAAATGAGGTACATCGTTTCCGAAAATTGTTCCTTCAAGGACGTCTAAATCACTGTTGAAGGCATAAAGTACTGAATGTTTTCCACGAGCAACTGGTTTTGTTAGAACGTAAATTTGTATGGTCGTCATTTCTTTAAGGGAAAAATGAAATACCATTAACAATTTAGAAATGTAAAATAACTTTAAAATGATTGAGAAGCAGTTTTGTAGTAGAGCGAAGTAGTTTTGTAGGAATGTATTTATGGACAAGTTCCTGTACATACTGAGGAGCGAAGCCATGTGCGCAGTTATATGTCATCATGTGCATGTTGATTGTGACCTAAAGGGGTCAGGGCAAAGCAATGACAAAATACTGGTATCAAATGTAATTGTAGACTTTATTTAATCGAGAAGCTTTGTGGAAATTGAGGTATTCATACAAACAATGTTAACATGTTATAGTGGTAATGTGATTTGAATTGTTTTATGATCAGACCATGGACAGTATAGTGTGGTTTTGTAAAGTAAGTCACAATTAGTAAACACTAAATCTAAGGTACTGCCCATAATGGTAGTTGGAGTTGTAATTTGTTGTGTACAGTTGAATGTTTCATGCATGAAATTGAGAAACATAGTTTTATTCTGAATGTTGATATTGAAATCTCCGAATATTATGAAACGTTTGTTAATTTTTATGTTTGGAAGTATATGTTTTTTCATGCATTCCTGTAGAGTGGCATATGTACATGATGGCGATTTGTATATAGATACTATTTGAATATGTGTAGGATGCGTAGTAGTTAAAATGATGCTTTCAAATGCAAATGATGTAAATATTATGTGTGGACTTGGTGGTCAAATTGTTGGAAACATATAACAGATATGTCCATGAGGACGTCTATTTTGTGTTGTTTGTTGTTGGTCATTTCATATGTATATATATTGTATGTATATGTATTTTCAGTAGCAATGAGTCTTGTTTCACATATGGAAATGATGTCTGATGCTGTTATGTTATGGTCTGTGAAAATTTGTTTTTTATGTTTGTTGAAGGATCTGGCATTTTGGAAGGTTAACTTAAATCGGTTAATTATGTTATAGAATGGTTGAAAACATAGTTTAAGTGATTTTTCTGTTGACAAGCGCTTCATCTCATGTTTAACATGCTGGGATACTGAAATTTGTTGCTGATTTAATTGTAAAATCTGAAGCCCGCTTGCTTTTGTTGCACAGCTTAAGGCTACATAATGAGCATGTTGGAATGAACGTGTTCCCATGTGGACAACAGTTTCTAAGGTGTCTCCCTGTGATTTGTGAATGGTTTTTGCTGTAGCAGGACGCAAGGGAAATTGAGTTCTTATGATAGAGATGCGTAGTTTGGTGGCTTGAAATGTGCGTTTAATTGCAAAGATTGGCGTCCAAGTGCCGTCTTCGTTTGATGCATAATTTTTGAATTTAGTACGAGTGTTGGTACCAGCATGGATATCATCCAACTGAATCCAGATAATGCTTGGAACTGGATTGTTTGGTAATAGGCAAGAAATTTTTTTAACTATACCGCTTGAGCCATTGGTGAGACCATCATCAACATCAATGTTGGCAACTATTTCATATCTGACATTGAGGGCAATAGTTAGCTCTGATAAAAGACCTGCTGTTTGAGATGGGTTTATTGAGACGGATTTGGCAATTGCTTGTTTTGTTTGTAATGGGAAGTCACCTGTAACTTCATCTTGCGCTTTTAATGTCACTTATTGTCACATTTACTAAGGCATTTGTCGGAAACAGGTGTGGGGATGTTTTTGAATAGTATGGACTTGTTGATGTCACTTTGCATTTGTTTAATTCTGAAATATCTTTGAACGTGTGATCGCCAGTACGAAGTCGATTTAGTAAATCTGCAAATGGTTGGTCATCTTTTTGTCTCATTATTTCTGTCAATTCATGCATGTAAAAGTGGTTGTGCCACAAGTTAGATGCTAGTGGACCATAGCCATCTTTTAGATCCATAAATATCTATGAATCAAGTACTGGTTTTAGTTGGAATAAGTCTGCTACGGCTATAGTATGTATTCCACCAAATGGTTGATTATTTTGTTTAATGTCATTGAGACGAAGTTTCACAAATGCAAGTTGTTTGGCTCCTACCATGCATATTTCATCAATAATCACTACTTTTAAGAGGCGATATTTCATTTGCAAAGCATTTAAATGATCAGATGATAGCTTTCTGTAGTTAAAATCCCCGATTGGGATCAATTTTGAATGCATTATGAATTGTGACACCCTGAATGTTGTATGCAGCTTTGCATGTTGGAGCGCAAAGAATGATCCTGCAATCTTCAGGATTTTCACCCTCTGTTTTTGTTAATAGTCTTAGTAGTGCCTGATATAACGTTCGAATGATTGAAGACTTGCCTACACCAGCACCTCCTGTTAGAAACACATGAAGTGGTTCTTGCTTGGTGGATATAAATTGCATTACATTTGTAAAAAATTCAAATTGTTTTTTATTCAGCATTGCTAATGAGTGCAAAAACTCATTGTCTGGTAGTCGATTGGGCAGCAAGTCTGTGGATATTGCAGTGGTAGGTCCAAGACCTATATCTCTAGAAATATCATAGTTTATATGTTCTTTTGAAGGATAAAAGAATGTGTATTCTTTACTTTCGCCCCTGTTTTCTAGAAAATCATCTTCATCTACTTGCTGAGCATTAGGTGCAACCACAATATCATTGACATGTGCATAGCTAGCATACATTATGGCATTTGAAATGGATGTGTTTTTTTCATATTCCGCCATTTTTATTGCAAGTGCAGTTTTTTGTTGTTTAAAATGTGCTTGGTAATTTGGATGTTGACACAATAAATCCGTTTCTTCGTTACGCCATGGTATATAAAGCATTAAGCGTTCTCTAGCATATTGTTCAGGTTCCAATTTGGGGTTGTAATTTACAAATCTGATTATTTTTTGAGTGTTACATGAACGAATAGATATCCTTGTCTTAAATGTGATGTTTATGTTGTTGCTTGGGTTTATTTCCATTGGTTGTAATTTTTCCAGCATAGTTGGATCATCCTCATGATCAGTGTCATATGGATCAATATATTTTTCAGGATAGAGAACAACCAATTTGGACACATAGTCAGCAAGGCACCAGTTTTCAAGTTGTTTTGGCGTATTTGCATAACGCTTGATTGAATTTGTTGCCTCTACATTTGTGTCGTTTGGTTCCAATTTTTGTAGGTCAGATTTGCTTTTCATAAGAAATACTCTGTCTTTTGGTGGTGCTGTATTAATAAATACAACTGAACGCGTTGCCTTTGTTATTGGCATTTGGAGGACTAAATATATTGCCTCTTGGGCACTTACCTCTACTGCATTTACAAATTTATCGCCAATTAATCGAACTTGTTGACGAAGGTTTGTGTTGCCTTTTCTTGCCTCTTTGCATGCCTGATTTAAAAGCAAACTCATATCGCGTTGTGATTTACAAGAGGTCAAGGATTGCGTTTGGCCTGTTATATTTTGAATGTAGCAACTTATTTTGATTAGTCTAATTTCCACAAGATTGTCTCCTTGTAAATGCAAACTGCTAGCTAAATTGTAAACATGATATATAAGGTGTCGCAAATTTGGAAATTGCATAAAAGTAGCATTAGGTGTACAAAGGCCATTGACTCCCCTTGAATGGGGATCAAAGACAACATAATGATTGTGTTCATTTTTTAACAAAGCTATCATTGTTTGTCCAATAACCATAATATTTGATGGGGTCACAGTGAATGCATGTTGAATACCAACATCCAATGCTTCTAAGAAAGAAGAAGTTCTGTTTTCGTTGAGATTACAATATATAATATGTCATATTGCATAATGCCCAATTTGTATATACATGGAAGTTGGTTTGTAGATAAGAATTTAGATGCACGGAGTTTATTTTGTACCTCAAGTTTCAGGGAAACAGATTTGTATAAATTGTCTCCAAAATGTAAAACGTTGTCAATATCTGTTGCATCAATTACATTGTGGTGTTAGAGGTAGCAGAGCATTACAAGGCAGTTACAAGAGCATTGTTTTCCTGCAGAAGTTGGGAAAATGGAAACATTACCCTGATGGAAATGACCTTGTTTAATTTGTGTTACTTCTACAGATATTTGTTTTTAGACTTGTCTTTAGATAGTCGCTGAAGGTTTTTTTCTTTTTGAAGGGGGTGGCATTTTAAATTTTTATTGACCTCACAATAGGCCTACTAAGTAACATTGTTGACAAAATAAGAACATGTAACAGTGGTGAAGTATGCTGTACTGTATTATTATTTAATACTTTCGTTGCATTTAATTATATGTTATGGTTTTGTAGCCGTGCAGGTTACAATATAAATATATTTGGATGACACGTCTGGGGAAGAAGAGAAAATTGCATTATACTTTTCAAATGAATTGGAGTACCACATCATTTGGTTTGATTGTATATACGATAGGTTTGAAATATTTTTTCAAAGGTCAGTGATGCAATGTAGCCTAATGCAACATTAGAATATATACATAATCGAGAGTGTATTTGTTTTACTTCATAAAACCCTAAAATAATCAAAGTCTATCTTAAGGTAATTTGATTACAATCACCAATATTCATGCAAAGATAAATGGTTAATTATTTACTTTGTATGAAATTTCAACAAATTTTTGAGATTTGTTTTTATTTTTACAAAAGCAATTGTATACAAACTTCCAATAACAACACTATTGAAAGGATTTGAACATCGTAAACTCACCTAATAGTAATATTATGCAGACTGACTGTATGCTGATGTCAAGGCCTAATAACTGTAATTACAAGCACATAGCCAAATATTAATATAAAAAGTAACATAACAACATAAATAACTTAATGAACATTTTAGGCCTAGGCCAAACTGCATATTTTTTCAATAATATTAATAATCTAGGGCTAGGCGGCCCTAGTTACCGTTCAATAAAGGAAATGTGTCATACTATAGGCCTTGGGGCTCACGCCAACTAAGCCTAGGCCTAATTGTTCGGCAATCCGCCATGGGCGAAAAATAATTTGGATTGCTGATAAAATAAACAGCTGTGGTAGCCATTAGGCAAAGGTTTAAAATCGTTTAGGCCTGGCAGTTTCAAATTGGCTGAAATACATTGGTATTTTCTCGTGCAACCTCATTTTTTTGAGTGTTACTTCAGTGTGAGTTGCGAGTTGCGAGTCGGAAAGTGCGAGTTGCGAGTCGGAAAGTGCGAGTTGCGAGTCGGAAAGTGCGAGTTGCGAGTCGGAAAGTGCGAGTTGCGAGTCGGAAAGTGCGCGTTGCGAGTCGGAAAGTGTGAGTCGGAAAGTGCGAGTCGGAAAGTGCGAGTTGCGAGTCGGAAAGTGCGAGTTGCGAGTCGGAAAGTGCGAGTTGCGTGTCGGAAAGTGCGAGTTACAAGTCAGAAAATGCAATGGTCTGTCATGTTAGTATATAACAAATCTCAAGTATTATTTTATTTATGCTGTTAGGTTTGGTCTGACAATAGCATTATTTGGAGAATATAGATATTCAGGCCTACACCTAAATATTGGCCTACCGTAAATTGCATCAGTAAAGTATGTACCAGCATACATTTTGATACTGTACATATATTGTCTACTGTATGTAAATTCTCAGATACAGTATGTGGTACATTAATGGTAGAAGGTGTAGCTGGTCATATAGTTGCTAAGTTTTATTGTCATTTTGTCCTTGCAAGTGAAAGGCCACTTTACATGAAAACAAATGACCTGTCATAATGTTGAAATGATCCTGATAAAGTGAAAATGCTGC